AGAGATGAGGTTTCACCATGTTGACCAGGATGGTCTCGATCTCTTGACCTCGTGATCCACCCGCCTCGGCCTCCCAAAGTGCTGGGATTACAGGCTTGAGCCACCGCGCCCGGCATTAAAATTTTAAAAACCATTTTCCCAATTACCTCACTATAAATAAGATGTCTCTGAAAGGTACAGATATGGCATCACAATGGTGATAGACAAATGGTGGAACAGTCCTGGTATCACAATATTGGTGATAGACAAATGGTGGAACAGTCCTGGTACCACGATCATGGTGATAGACAAATCGTGGAACAGTCCTGGTACCACGATCATGGTGATAGACAAATGGTGGAACAGTCCTGGTATCACGATCATGGTGATAGACAAATCGTGGAACAGTCCTGGTATCAAGATAATGGTCATAGACAAATGGTGGAAGAGTCCTGGTATCACAATATTGGTGATAGACAAATGGTGGAACAGTCCTGGTACCATGATCATGATGATGGACAAATGGTGGAACAGCCCTGGTATCACGATCATGCTGGTAGACAAATGGTGCAACAGTCCCAGTACCACGATCATGGTGGTAGACAAATGGTGGAACAGCCCTGGTACCATGATCATGGTGGTAGACAAATGGTGGAACAGTCCTGGTGCCACGATCATGGTCGTAGACAAATGGTGGAATAGTCCTGGTACCATGATCATGGTAGTAGACACATGGGACCTTCTCTGCCTGCAGATGGGTGAGGTAGCATTGACCCTGCAGTGTTCCCGGAAAAACACTTAGGCTGAATTTAATCATGAGGACATTTTCAGACAGCTTCAGAGTGTAGATCATTGAGCCAGACAGCTGACCTGTCCTCTACAAAGAAGCCCATGTCACCACCATCAATGACAACGAAAAGGTGAGGAGACACTTTGCGTTCAAAAGAACTAAAGCAATGTAGCTACATTATCTTTTGACTCTTTTTCGACCCAAAATGTCTCTTCTCCTTTTAGTTGTGTGATTTGTGGTGACATGGGCTGTCTGAAGGAGACAGGTCAGTCGTGCTGCTCACTGCTCTACATTCTGAAGTTGTCTGGAGATTACCTCAGGCTATGAAACTCAGGCTAAGTGTTTCAGCAAGAACATGGTGTTGTTCATACTCTGCACTGGCAGAGTCCCAGGTGACATGTTGTCTTAGTGTTGGAATATGACCCCTATCCGGGAGACCAGGTGGAGTCCTATCACCGTCATAGTAAGAAACCTACTGTCCATGTCCAAAGTCAAGCGAACATGCCCTTCCACAAGTAAAAAAATGGCATATGTGTAATCCTGGCATGTGTAGTAAAACTCAGGATAAGCTGTATACGTTGAATACAATATATCCAGTGAGTACCGGAAGACTTCAGGCTCTTCTGCTTCCACCAGCTCCATGCTGAGCCTAGAAAAGGAGGAAAAACCAAAGAATAAGTCAGGGAAAATAAGAAACGCAGAGCCCCAACTAGATTTCATGGGTAGCACAAGAAAGTGGTTAATAAAGAAAAAACATAGATCCATTAATTACAAAAAATTATTGCCTTATGTTGGGATGGGCAAGAGTAGGGTAAAAAGAATCAAAAAGAAAGAGAGAGAGAGAGAGAGAGAGAGAGAGAGAAAGTAAGCTCAGTGAGCCGTCCAGGTGACACACTGATGAGGGAGTAAAAGGACACTCTGAGTTAGTGCCCTCAGGACACACAGCGAACACCGATCGTAAAAACAAGAATGGTCAACCTACAGCAGTTAGTACATGACAAAGGGAGGAAGAAATGGAAACCTAAATATCTACTGCAATGAAAACCAACAGCAATGTTAGTAGGAATAGTTCAGGCTTCGTTGAAAACACGGTATCGATATTGTCAGCCCACTCTGTTTTCCCTGGACCTGGCGTCTCCAGGTGTCAACACAAAATTAGCTGTTCACAATTGTTCAGAGTTACCTGGGGCATGGTGGGCCTTGATCTTCTTCTTCTTCTTGGTCATTTTTAATCTCTGCAATAAATTCAGACAGGGACAGACAAAATAAGCCAATTCCCCAACACCCGTAACAGTCCACTGTCTAATCCCTGCACAGGGACCTCAGGCTCCTCAGCATGAGAACAGGATAATGTGAGAGATAGACTTCAGGAGGTCTCAAGGCCAATCATGCTAGAGATTCCTTGGTTTGTGTCTCAGAACCAATGGTGAAATGTCCCTCTTCTTGTAGACCATTATTCTTTTATCCCGAGTTTGTACAAACAGTTACACCAAGTTTGTACAAGCAGGGAAGAACCTCACAGATATGCTTGGGGAACAAAACTCAAGAGGAACTTGGTAGCCGGCAAGAGGCATTGAATTCAGATTGACAGACAACTCGTGGGCATGCGCTGCATAGCTTGGTGTGAGTGTGCAACACCTGCCTTGGGTTTCAATGTCCTGACAGTCGGTCCAGTGTGCGACGGGCATGGCCTGAGACTAGAAAGAGAGCAAAGCTCACTGACCCCCCCCATGTCCGTGCTTCAGACTGGAATCCAGAGTAATCGAAATCTACACTGATGTACAGGTTGAGCCCACAGTGATGACAACACTCAGCCCAGCCAGGGGAGCAATGCCCAAAGACTATGGGGTCTATCTGGGGCAGAAAATGGAGCTTTATCGCCTTCACAATGGAGTACTCACTGTCTATGTCACGAGCCAAGTCGACCTGCTGCTCCTCTAATGAGTGTAAGTTGCTCCTGTAAGGCTCACTGAAAGCAGATGTGCCAGGAGGAACTGAGAGAGTCGAATAACCTTCATCCCAGGACTCCTGGGGGGCTTCCTCCTCCACAGACTCCTGCAGATTCCTGATGAGCCAGGTAGGACAGGGTGACAGAAGATTAAACCAACAGAGATTAGACAACAAAGTCTCCCAGATGATCTGATGGAAGTCAGAAAGGAGTGGCCTCAGAAAGCAAAGGCATTTATCCTTCAAGAGAAAAAAAACTATCCTTCTAAATGCAGGGCGGAGGGTGACTACCTTGGGGACAGAGCACAAATGAGCAGCAGGTGCTCAGTGCATTTGCAAAATGAGCCACTGCAGGCCACCCAGACTCCCTGTAAACTCTCATCATGAACTGCAGCACGAGAACTAACACGGGGCTTCAACTACCTCGCATAAGTTATGTTGAATTTTACATGCAGCATTCAAGTGAACACAGCTCTTGAGGCATTTCAGACACCCAGATCTTGGGTATTAATGGCCTCCCTTTTCCAGTATTTTGATATCATATGTATATTTTTTGAATTTCTTCTCTTCACAAATCCTAGCAAACATGAGAACAAGAAATATGCAGAAACAATATACACATCTGTCCCTGGATTTAAACACATGGGAGAGAACAGGCGAAACCAGGAAATCCCTGTTTGCCGAGTTCACCAGGCTCATCTGATTGCAGACTCCTATCTTGGGAGGACTAAGAAATTGAAACCTACACAAGTGCCACAAATCACCCACAACTTTGTCAATAAAGACAATTTGCAGCTGGGTGAATGGAAGAAAGAGTTCTAGCCATCACTTCCCCGTTTTCCCTGGAGCTGCAGTCTTCAGGTGTCACTACTGAGCTAACAGCCCACAACTCCACCGCATTACCTGGGGGGCACTTGCCATTGTTCTTCCACTTCCTCATCGTCATTTTGACTTTCTGTAAATAAATTCAGAGAAGCAGGTCACATGAAGCAAATCACACTTCACATGGGACCAAATCAGTGTTTAGTCATAGCACAAGCACAGAAGTGTTCTCAGGCAAGAATACAAATTCTCACAGGCAGATGCTAGGGTGCCCTCGATGAAGCCTGGTGAGTGGATGAGCCTGCTTTCCAGATGCACAGACCAAAATCTCCCTCTATGGGTAGACCATAATGCCACATTCTCTCCCACAGTCTATGCAAAGTTAAACCAAATTTTTTCCCAGAAAATCTCCAAGTGTTAGTCAAACTATTTTCCGGCAGTGCTGCTGCAATACTGACTTATCTCACCAGGTAGCAAGGTCATTGAATGGTTAGAGGCATCTATGCATGAAACTGGACAATATGTAAATTCTAACACTTGCTTGAAAAAGAATCTGTGAGCTTTGCGCAGTGGCAGTATCATAGCCAATGAGGTTTATCCAAGATGAGATTATCGCTAATTGAAAACTTTCCCCACTACCCCGCCATGATGACATGCAAATAGAGTCGGCATTGACAATTTTTGGCAGTCCCTAGGGAAAAGCAATAAAAAAAGACAAAACAAAAACAAACAAAAAAGAATCTGTCTCAGACCAATGGTGAAATGTGAACCGGGCATGGTGGCTCCCGCCTGTAATCCCAGCATTCTGAAAGGCTGAGGTCAGCACTTCACGAGGTCAGGAGATTGGGACCATCCTGGCTAACACAGTGAAAGCCTGTCTCTACTAAAAATACAAAGAAATTAGCTGGGCATGGTGGCACTCGCCTACACTCTCAGATACTCGGGAGGCTGAGGCAGCAGAATCGTATGAACCCAGGAGGCAGAGGTTGCAGTGACCTGACATCGTGCAACTGAACTCCAGCCTGAAAAACAGAGGGAGACTCCACCTCCAAGAAAAAGAAAATACAAAATCCGTGATTTGAAAAGACAAAGTAGGTGAAAAATTTATGGTCAGGAGTTCAAGACCAGCCTGGCCAATATGGTGAAACCTCGTCTCTACGAAAAATAGAAAACTTAGCTAGGTGTGGTGGTGAGCACCTTGGTCCCAGCTACTCAGGAGGCAGAGGCAGGAGAATCAGTGGAGTCTGCAAAGTGGAGCTGCAGTCAGCCAAGATGGTGCCACTGCACTTCAGCCTGGATGACAAAAAAAGACTCCATCTCAACAACAACAAACAATATGTGATGCTACAAGAAAAATCAGATCGGCCATTGCATTGAGGCAGTGGAGAGCCAGGGGTGAACCTTGCTTTACCAAAACATAACAACAAGGGAAAGAGGAAATGTTTTCATCCTGGTTTCAAGGTGACTATGCAGCTAAGCAAGTTGACTTAAAAGAGACCAAGACTGAAACTCAGAGCAGCAAAACCTAGGGAACAATATCTACAAATAAAAAGGCAAGTCTTCCAGTTTCCTTAAAAAGAAATAGAAACTCCATGAACATCGTTCAGGGACAGATGACATAATGACAGGTGATGAGAGATACCGACTCAACGCTAGGAGACCTGACAGACACCTACTGTATACCTCCTGTGCTCAGGTGACCATGAGTTTGTCACACTGGCCTGGGGTCTGGTAACTTGATACTCAGGCCTGGGAGACAAATGCCTGGCATGAGCTGAGGAAGAGATAACAATTCCCTGATGTCTGTGTTTACTATCCCATCATATATATTTATTTAAACCAATCTGTGTGTATAGAGCCTGTCTTCAGAGTTGATCTTCCTCAGCCTAGACAAAGGTACCAAAAAAAGGAATGTAGAGGTCACCTGAAAGAATGCTTAGAGCATCCTCCGCTACATCATGAGATGATTAACTCTCTACAACCAGCGCAGATTCGATGCTGTCTTCCTCAAATGTGATTTCATTGGTGTCTCTGGGAGGCTGGCTGGAGTCACTAGTCCCATAGCTATTTGAATGAGTGACGACACATTCCCCCAGTGAGTCCTCAGGGACTTTCTTGACTTCAATCTTCTGCACCTCTCTGATGAGCCAGAAGAGATAAAGATGTCAGAAGATTAAACAAAGGGAGATCGCACAGGAGAAATAAGAGAGGGGTCTCAGAAGGCAAATGGGAGGTTCCCTTTGAGAAGAAACAGGCAATCCTCCTCTCTGCAACACAGCATGGCTGCCATGGGAACCGGAGAGAAAGAGAGCAGCTGGTATTCATCACACTGGGCAGAAAGGAGCTGAGGAGAACAGAGACTCAGTTATCCCTGCATAATTCAGACATGGCACTCAGCACATACAAAGAACCACAACAGCTGCCACACCCTGTGTCTAAGTTGGGTTGAATTGAACATATTGTGGCCAAGGGAATGCAGGCTTTTGGCCCATGGGAGATGTCAGAGAGGGTGAGATTCTAGAACTTTTCCATACTTTACCACCCATTACTTCCTCCTGATTCTTCAGTGTTACCTGGGGGCATGTGACTCCTGTATTTCCTCAGCCTCCACAACATGAACATCTTCATCCTCATCTTTTTCATTTTCTGCAAGTACAGATGTGTTTGTTCAGATATTTCCCGTTTCACACTCTGCAAGCACAGGCAGCCCAATGTGCACAGGGTCATGAAAGTCTATGTGTGGGTCCCTGTTCTACTGAAAGCTCTCATGTTTTCTCCTTAACAAAGTGCCCTGGCATGGTTTCCTGATCCACCAGGCAATGCATTTCTGATCCGGAGGCTCACCGTCAAGATGAGGCCAAAGGTTGAAAAGACCTTCTGCTCCCACATCACTGGAGGCTTCTGCAGCCTCTCTCTGGACTTTGGCAGCTGTCTAACCCATCCTGACACAGATCTCATGCCCAGGGACAGGCTTGCCTTCCTGTCACAGTTCACATTGACAACCTATTTCTTTCTCTTAGGAGAGGACAAACAAACTTGCCCCACAATCGTCTGCACATCAGGTGACTTCACAGGCCCTCCAAGTGGCTTCTGCTGTGTTATTCAGGGACATTCTCTCCACAGGGAGTGCTCCAGTCTGAACCACTTCCTAACACCAAATGCCCACACATCAAGTGCTGTCTCCACCACCACACCGCAAGGGGCTCTATCTCATTTTGATAAGCGGTCATAAGTGTTCGCACATTTGAATGCTTCAGACACTTGCAAGATGTTTGCCTTGGCAGATGGAGAGAGAGAAATTTGCCTGACTTTGCAGATGGAGAGACTGAGAGTCAGGAAGGGGAAATCAATTGCTCACTGACAGTTACTAAAAACACTGCCGAAGATACAGCCTGGGAACCTTCATTCTTAATCCAGAGCTCTTTCCACTCCAACAACCGCCCTCCTGTCACAGCTTCCTTTTTGTCCTTTACAACTGGACACATGCTGCCTCTTGTTCCAAAGACCACCTCCCATCAGATGATGTAAGGAGCAGAGTCCTCTTGAAGCTCCCACAGTGGGTACTGTGTACTATCACTGTATTTCCCCCTGGCCCCCAGAACAGAGTTTCCCTACAGGACCTCAGCAGAAACCTGAACTGAATGGAAGTTCATGAGCCTCAGACATTTCGACCCATGGACTAGATGCTACTTGTCTGCAGGATCTTCTGTGGTACACAGAGGATTCCTGTCAACATGATTTAGCCTCTTGCTGAGAAAAACAGGTGGTTCTGTGCCTGTGTCAGGAATCAATAGCTGAGGTTTTACCCTGAATCCCACACCCACCTTGCTGCAGACGTGGAAAAGTGGCTACATGCTTTGGCCTCTCTCATCTGTTTTTAACAAAATGTTAAAATATAAATTAATATTTGCCTAGAAGTATGGGGAAAATGAAATAAATTCTGATGAAGAAAGTGTTCAGTTTCTCAGACAAAACACAGAACACTCTTCAGCACTTCGGTGATGGTGAACCTATAGAACTTACCTTCCGTCTTCAGCCGGCAGCCCAGGTCGTGGGCCGCTTGACTCATAAGAAGTTTATTTTGGCTGTCTCCGTATTGCCGGTCCTCCTCATCTTTTCGATCTTCTGTAAGCAAATTCATAAAAGCAGGTCACATTAAGAAAATCACACTTCACATAGGACCAAATCAGTGTTTAGTCATAGCACAAGCACAGAATTGTTCTCAGGGCAAGAATACAAATTCTGACAGGAAGATTCTAGGGTGCCCTGGATGAAGCCTGGTGAGTAGATGAGCCTGCTTTCCAGATGCATAGGCCAAAATCTCCCTGTACAGGTGGACCATAGTGCTATATTCTCTGCCAGAGTCTACGCAAAGTTAAACCAAACTTTTTCCGAGAAAATGTCCTAAAAGTAGTCAAACTATTTTCTGGGAGTGTTTCTGCAATACTGACCTATCTCACCAGGTAGCAAGGTCATTGAATGGTCAGAGGCATCTATACATGAAACTGGACAATGTGGAAATTCTAACCACACTTGCTTGAAAAAGAATCTGTGAGCTTTGCGCAGTGGCAATATCGTAGCCAATGAGTTTTATCTGAGATGAGATTATTGCTCATTGAAAACTTTCCCCAGTACCCCGCCGTGATGACATGCAATAGAGTCAGCATTGACAATTTTGGACAGTCTCTAGGGAGAAGAAATAAAAAAAGACAAAACAAAAACAAACAAAAAAGAATCTGTGGGCCGGGCATGGTGGCTCCCGCCTGTAATCCCAGCACTCTGAAAGGCCAAGGTGAGCACTTCACGAGGTCAGGGGGTCAGGACCATCCTGGCTAACACAGTGAAAGCCTGTCTCTACTAAAAATACAAAGAAATTAGCTGGGCATGGTGGCACGCGCCTACAGTCTCAGCTACTCGGGAGGCTGAGGCAGCACAATCGTCCGAACCCAGGAGGCAGAGGTTGCATTGACCTGAGATCTTGCAACCGAACTCCAGTCTGAATAACAGAGGGAGACTCCATCTCAATAAAAAGAAAAAAAAAATCCGTGATTTCAAAGGACAAGGCGGGTGAAAAATTGAAGGTCCGGAGTTCAAGACCAGCCTGGCCAACATGGTGAAACCTCGTCTCTACTAACAATACAAAAATTAGCTAGCTGTGGCGGTGAGCACCTGTGGTCCCAGCTACTCAGGAGGCAGAGGCAGGAGAATCACCGGAGTCCGTGAAGTGGAGATTGCAGTAAGCCAAGATGGTGCCACTGCACTCCAGCCTGGGTGACAAAAAAAACTACAACCCAACAACAGCAAACAATTATGTGATGCTACGAAGAAAAATCAGACCGGCCATTGCACTGATGGGCGGAGAGCCGGGCTGAGCCTTGCTTCACGGAAACACATCGGCAAGGTAAAGAGGAAATGTTTTCATCCTGGTTTCAAGGTGACTGTGCAGCTAAGCAAGCTGACTCAAAAGAGATCAAGACCGACACTCGGAGCAGTGAAACCTGGGGAACAACATCGCCAAATAGGCAAGGCGCCCAGTTTCCTTAAAAAGAAATGGAAACTCCATGAACATCGTTCAGGGACAGATGACATAATGACAGGAGATGAGAGATACCGACTCAAAGCTAGGAGACCTGACAGACACCTACTGTACACCTCCTGCATTCAGGTGACCATGAGTTTGTCACACCGGCCTCGGGTCTGGTAACTTGATACTTGGGCCTGGGAGACAAATGCATGGCATGAGCTGAGGAAGAGATAAAAGTTCCCTGATATCTGTGTTTTTATTTTTATACATCATACATTTTTATTCAAACCGATTTGTGTGTATAGAGCCTGTCTTCAGGGTTGATCTTCCTCAGCCTAGACAGAGGTATCAAAAACAAGGAATGTAGGGGTCACCTGAAAGAATGATTAGACCATCCTCTACTACAACATGAGATGATGGACTCTTGACAACCAGTGCAGAGTTGACTTTGTCTTCCTTAAATGTGATTTCATTGGTGTCTCCGTGAGGCTGGCTGGAGTCAGAAGGGCCGTAGCTATCTGAACGAGTGGTGACACATTCCTCCAGTGAGTCTTCAAGGACTCTCTTGACATCAACCTTTGGCACCTCCCTGATGAGCCTGAGGGTATAGAGATGACAAAAGATTAAACAAAGGGGGATTGGACCCCGGGAACCCCTGGCTGGTTTTCACAGGAGGAATCAGAGAGGGCTCTCAGAAGGCAAATGCAAGGTTCCCTTTGAGAGGAAACAGGCAATCCTCCTCTCTGCCACAGAGCATGGCTGCCATGGGAACCGGAGTGGAAGAGAGCAGCTGCTATTTATCACACTGGGCAAAAAGGAGCTGAGAAGAACAGAGACTCAGTTATCCCTGCATAGTTCAGACACGGCACTCGGTAGACACAAAGAACCACAACAGCTGCCACACCCTGTGTCTAAGTTTGGTTGAACTGAACGTATTGCGGCCAAGGGAATGAAGGCTTTGGCCCATGGGAGATGCCAGAGAGGGTGAGATTCTAGAACTTTTCCATACTTTCCCAACCAGTACTTGCTCCTGATTATTCAGCGTTACCTGGGGGCACGTGACTCCTGTATTTGCTCAGCCTCTGCGACGTGAACATCTTCATCCTCATCTTGGTCATTTTCTGCAAGTACAGATGTGTTCGTTCAGATATTTCCCATTTCACACTCTGCAAGCACAGTCAGCCCAATGTGCACAGGGTCATGAACGTCTATGTGTGGGTCCCTGTTCTACTGAAAGCTCTCATGGTTTCTCTTTAGCAAAACACCCTGGCATGGTTTCCTGATCCACCAGGCAAAGCATTTCTGATCCGGAGGGTCACCATCAAGATGAGGACAAATGTTGAAAAGACCTTCTGCTCCCACATCACTGGAGGCTTGTGCAGCCTCTCTCTAGACTTTCGCAGCTGTCTCCCACATCCTAACAGAGATCTGATGGCCAGGGACACCTTGCCATCCTGTCACAGTTCACATTTACAATCTATTTCTTTCTTTTAGGAGAGGACAAAAAACTTGTCCCACAATCCTCTGCACATCAGTTGACTTCACAGGCCCTGCAAGTGGCTTCTGCTGTGTGATTCAGGGATATTCTCTCCACAGGGAGTGCTCCAGTCTCAACCGCTTCCTAACCCCAAATGCCCACACATCAAGTGCTGCCTCCAACACCACACAGTGAGGGCCTTTATCTCATTGTGATAAGCGGTCATAAGTGTTCGCACATTTGAATGCTTCAGACATTGCAAGATCTTTGCCTTGGCAGATGGAGAGAGAGCAATTTGCCTGCCTTTGCAGATGGATAGACAGAAAGTCAGGAAGGAGAAATCAATTGCTCACTGACAGTTACTAAAAACACTGCTGAAGATACAGCCTGGGAACCTTCATTCTTAATCCAGAGCTCTTTCCACTCCAACAACCGCCCTCCTGTCACAGCTTCCTTTTTGTCCTTTACAAC